AGCCCCAGTGGCCGGGTCATGGCGGCAATAATAAGAAATAACCCGTGTAGTCAGTGGGAAATCCCAGGGACAATGACAGCATCTGCGAAGAGTGTTAGTAGCCAGATTCTCTTGAGGAAGACAAGGGGAGACAAGAGTGTAAGTCCAATTTTAGTAAAGAAAAGTGTGTCCGTGTTAGAAGGCAAACTAGAAGCGAACAGGCCATGTCTTTGTGGCAGTCACCATCGTAACCCTTCTTCTTTATGCCGCTCTTCGTTCCTTGGTCCTCTAGGATGAACTCAATTCACGTGTGGATACAAAACTCTCAGCAAACATCAGGAAGACGTTTTGCTCCCCGGGGCTCCAGGCGCTTCCCTCTCCAGCCTGTTAGGAATTGCTTTCTCTCCATCACCCCTTAAAAGGGAAGGCAGTACCACATCACTAAACAACCAGCCAGGAGGGTTCCTCCAAGGGCAACAAGCTGACCTCTGAAAATCAGCGAGCCTCCGGATCCTGCACCTGGAAACCCCAGCCGGATGACCTAACGCGCATCCCCCCAAGAATCTGCACCATGTACATCATACTTTCTGATGTGAGCGCTTTCTTCTCAATTTCATTTTAGATGTTTCAGGTCATTGCAGTTTCACGGCTACACTTTCGACCAGCCAACAAGCTATTAACCCGTCTTCTCTGAGTAGACTAGAACAATGCCAACAAACTTCCACGATGTCCATCTAACTTTCTTGGGTGGACCTTTTAGCCGGAGAAAAATGTCTTAACTCTAGTTAAAATGCCTGTACTTCCACTGGGACCCTACAGGAGACTTCTTATCAAACTCATCCTAGGTGTCGCCAATTGTGAATGGATACCTCACCATCCAGCTAACAGATGTTGCAGGAACTGGGGCAGGGGAGAAGGCTTAGCAGTTAAGAGCACTTGCTGCTCTGGCAGAGGACCCACGTTCAGTTTCTAGCACCCACATCAGGCAGTTCACAACCACCTGTAACTCCAGCCCCAAGGGATCCAACACCCTATTCTGGCCTCTGCTTGTACACACACAGGTAGCCATACATACACACAGACACACACACACACACACAGGCAGACACACACACTCACATACACACTCACACACATAACACACATAAAGTCAATTTTTTTTTTTTTTTTAGTTGTAGAGATTAAATGACATGGTGCATGTAAGGAATTCATTGTGTGCATACAGGAATCACTCATTAAATGTGTGATAAATTTGGTAAACTGAACTATTGTCTGGCAGAGGCACCAACATCTTGGTTTCCATTTCCCTAGTTAATACTAGTAGATTAGAGTTGATGGTACAGCTCGTGACTTGAAAAAGCAAAATTCCACTTGGTATCCTAATACAATGAAATTGCTACCAATGCATGGAAACAGCTTAATGATTATAGGAATTTATTGGGGGGTTAACTCACAATTCAGGAAACTCACAATACAGGAAATAGGTATTGAGGCATGGTCCAGTGCTGTTCTCCAGAGAGCTCTGCCCTAACCAGTCCAGGCATCCAAGCCCATGAGGTAGCAATGAGAGGGCCAGGTACTTCATCCCAGGTCTTAAGGGGTCCCTGTCCAAGCTATGCCCCGGGGAGGAGGGTAGGTAACTAGGAATTACTTGCTGCCTCACTAGGGGTGGTCCTTCAGGGTAAGGCACAGACAACCACCCCTACATCATCCAAACCTAAAGTTTGGTCACACCACTAAATTAACCAGAAGCGGTACCACTGAGCCTTCCCACTATTGGTAATAGCCAGAACTGGGACACTGGCTGTAGCAAAGGGGAGAAGAAGACAGAGTGAAGAGTCACATTTGAGATGGAATCAATAGGGTTTGATGAATAGCCCTTCGAGAGGCTGAAGGAAAGAGAAGAATGGAGTCCCCAAGCATCTGACTTGGATGATTAAATACAACTCTTATTCACTCAATGAATTATCTACAGTGCACTTACTATGGTTCAGGTGCTGTTCTGGGTGCTGGAGCAATCATAGTCCACCAAAGAGGAAAAAGATCTGGAGAGTTTCCTGTTATGTTGGGGAGACCAGAAAAGAAACAAAGAAAATGGCTGACTGCGAGAACTTAGACAAAGACAGTAAACAAGTTAATAAGGTGGCGAATAATAAGACAGGGTCTATTTAGGACAGGATGGTCCCCTCTGAAGAGGTAACCAACCCGTGAGGTTCCTGAAGGAGGTGGAGCCAAGAAGCAGGGAGGAAGGGAAACATTCCAAAATGGGGAAGAGCAGGTGTAGAGATTGTTGGGTGGGAAAGGCACTGTATTTGGTAAGGGTGAAGAAAAATCTATGCAGCTGAACTATAAAGAGGGAGAGACTAGCAGAGAGGCTGGAAGGGAAGGGAAGGGCAGTTAGTCAAGGATGGGCCTTGAGAAGCAGGTTCTGAGGTAGATCTTATGGTACTTGCAGAAATCTTCAGACTAAAGATCCAAGGCTACAACCTAAAATCTACAGCTGATACTGAATGGGAGAACATTTCCAGTTGTACCAAAATTGCCAGAGAATTTCAGAAATAATGGATTTCTCAGGCACCAAAAATATAGGTTTCTAGATCTAGAACTGCCCAAGACCTGGAAATCAGTTTCTTCAATGCTCTGGTCCACTCATTCAGTAATGTTTCTTGTCTCCCTCCTACATTCTGGGATGCACCTAAAATAGCTTCTGAGGTAGAGAAAGAACACACCGTAAATGAGCATTATGACCCCCACACACAAAAATCGCCAATGCTAATAAAATATCACCCAACAGTAATTGGACCTACTCTTGATAAGACCTGTCTTGAGAAAATGACTTGGAACTGACAGATCAAGAATAAGGACAGGCTGTCTGAGGGGAGAGTGTTCTAGGCAGAGGGAGCCACCAAGGCAAAGGGCAAATGGAAGGCTGGGTGGGTGTGGTGGTACACCTCCCAGCACATGAGGTGTTGAGGCAGGAGGATCACTGTGAGTAAAAGGCCATCCTAGGATACAGAGTGAGATCCTGTCTCAAAAACAAAATACAAAGAACCCACAAAGACTGGGTCTAATCTTCTGGTTTATCCAAACTCAATTAACCAACCAAAGTAAGAGAAGAAGGCATAATGAAGAAGATGCCAGTTCATCTTCAGGTGTTCCTCAGCAAGCTCGCCTTGGGCACTGCTCCCGCACTAATACAAAAGGTCAGAAATATGATTGTTCTCTCCCCTTTCTGTGTCTGTATCTGTGTCTCTCTGTGTGTCTCTGTCTCTCTGTCTGTCTGTCTCTCTGTCTGTGTCTCTATATCTCTATGCCTGTCTCTGTGTCTCTGTTTCTCTCTGTGTGTCTCTGTCTCTGTCTCTGTCTCTATATCTCTATGCCTGTCTCTGTGTCTCTGTTTCTCTCTGTGTGTCTCTGTCTCTGTCTCTGTCTCTCTCTCTCTCTCTCTCTCTCTCTCTCTCTCTCTCTCTCTCTCTCTCTCTCTCTCAGAATTGGCAGTTCAGTGAAGCAAATAGGTAAGTGCAGCCCAATAAGTATGATCCCACACACACACGCTTTATAAGCAAGAGCATCCTAGACAATGACGCTCATGTTCTGAGAAAGCGGTGATGATTAATACCTTTGGGTATGGCGATATAATTGCTTTTGAAACCGTGTGTTAATGTTATTGTTTTTATGGTCCTAGCAAGCTCCAAATATCTGAATTTCAGATGGAATTTCTGCAGCAGTGAATCCTGGGTCTGAAATACTGCATAAACATTTCTACTTTAAGAAATCAGAATCCTGGAAAAATGCTAACATTTATTTATTGTGCATATAGATTTGCCTGGTTTAATGTGCAATCTCATGCCTTCCTTGCAATGTCCAGGTAAGGCATGGACCATGACACTCCCCAACACACACACACACACACACACACACACACACACACACACACACACTCCTTTTTCAAATGCAGAAACTGGGTAGGTGATGGGGACTTCCTTTCCTGTGACCAAGCCACATTTGGGCCAAGAGTCTCCATTTTGATTTCTCAGGAATGGCTAAGATCTTAATGCAGCTGCTCTCTTGGCCCCAGGACCCAAAGCAGATCTCTCTCTCTCTCTCTCTCTCTCTCTCTCTCTCTCTCTCTCTCTCTCTCTCTCTCTCTCTTTCTCTCTCTCTCTCTCTCTCCCTCCCCCCTCTGTCTGTTCAGGTTGTATGCACCAGCCAAAACTACGTCTCCCATGTAAAAGGGAAAGTAGAGAGAAGACCTCCTTGTTTCTACTGTGGGGGGAAGGGGATGGAAGATACCAAGGTGCCTACTCCAGCCTCCTGAGCCTCCTGTGGAGTAGAGGAAGTGTACTATAAAGACTTTTACCAGCTGGGTAGGAGGATCTTATTCCCTCTAATGATTCAAATTCAGCGGTATTTTAAAAGGTGAGATGGTCCTTTGCAGCCTGCACACCACCACCACCACACACACACACACACACACACACACACACACACACACACACACACACACACATACACACACATACACACACACTAACCAGTTTAAAACTTAAAAGGCCTTGTTTCTTCTTTTCCTGAGCCCTTTCTTGCAAACTTCTCAGTGCATCCACAGAAGGGTGTCTAGATGTAAGGGAAGTTAGTGTTTCCTGCTGCTCCTCTGCCTCTCAGAGTCTGTCTGTCTGTCTATCTATCTATCTATCTATCTATCTATCTATCTATCTATCTGTGTGTGTCTGTCTCTCTCTCTCTCTCAATCTCTGTGTCTGTCTCTCTCAGCCTCTTTCTCTGCCCCTCTTTGTCTCTCTGTGTGTATCTCTCTGTCTCTCTGTGTGTCTCTGTCTCTGTCTCTGTTCCCCGCCTTCCCTCACTTGCTTTCTCCCTCCCTCCCTCCCTCTTTATGGGGAGGCTCTTGGCCTAGGTCCCTGAGCCCAGGCTGGCGCAGGCAAAGGACCGACCTACAGGAGGAGTGAAGTCACATCTCCCTTGAGGCTGGAGCTACAAGCTTTTCAGAGCCTCTGCTCACCATGAGCCGACAGCCACAGCCCCAGGCTGCGCGGACAGTGCGCTCCGCGTCTCTCCCGGTGTCGCCGACTTTGCCCATGTCCCAGTATGCGTCCCGCTCAGACTCCAAGGGTGCTTTGGACAGCAGCAGCCCCGATGCCAACACGGAAGATGACAAGACCGAGGAGGACATGCCTGCGCCCAAGAACTATCTGTGGCTCACCATCGTCTCGTGTTTTTGCCCAGCGTACCCAGTCAACATCGTGGCTTTGGTCTTCTCCATCATGGTGAGTGGGGTTGGTACCAAAAGCAGCTGCAAAGGAAAGATCCGGCGGCGCTGTCCCTCATGGACCTTGTGCGCTGGGTTTGGGGGTGCATACCTCCGCCTTGCCTTTCTTCGGCTCGGGGGCTCGGCTCTCTGAGCTCTGCCCAAGACCATCAGCGCTCTGCTGCACAGCGCTAACCAAGCCTTCCGCAGAAACAACTTTGCGCTTCGTTGCCCCAGCGCTCCCTCTCCAAGTTCCCTGTCCCCAACTGTTTTCCTAGGACCTCATTGCGCAAGCCCTGGCAAGCCACAGTGCGCCCCATGCTGTGAGCTTGCAGGCTGTGCGTCCTGGGCTTGGCCACATTGAGGACCCCTGCCCTCCAGCCCCGCAAAGCTGCGGGTTCTTTCTTTTCGCTGCACGCTGGACACTGCCTCCATGGGGTCCCCTGGAGATTACCAAGGCTCCTCCTAGAGCTTGCCGCTTTTTGCCCAGAATGCTTTCTCTAGTTTCAAAGTTCCTTCCGTTTCTTCTACACCCCAAACCTCTCCCTTGCTTCTCGCTGGCACCTGTTTTCCAGCTCTCTGGAGGCGTCACCTGGACATTTCCACAGGACTTTCTTGATTGTACCCTACGCTCCTCTCACAAGCGAAAAGCCTATTCGCTCTTTACTCTCCCTCAGGTTGTCCCAGTCCGTCCGTTCCCACTTCGCTGCACAGGGACCTTGTCGGACTGTTCCCGGGATCCCCTCCACCGCTCTGTCCTATGCCCAGGGCCTCCATCCAGTGCACTTGGGGACTCCTCCATGGAGCTGCACCCTGGGGCTCAGCTCCGTCGCCCTCTTCAATGCTCCCAAGAACCAGATCCTCCCTTATTGACTAGAGCAGCTGGTCCCCGGGTGGTGGCGGGGGGTGAAATTCACACAGACACTGTCCCGGGACAACCCCAGCAGTTTGCGCTCCCTCCCCCACAGGCTCACTTCCCCAGCGGCTAGCCAATGCGACTCCCACCAAAGACAAGACTCCTTCAGCTGGGCTGAGGTTCGGCAGCCTGCATTAAGTGTTACCCCCACACACACCCGTAAAACCTTTCCTGGGTACAGCAGAGACTCCATTTGCACCCACCCACTGCCCTTCCCCAAAGGCTGCACCAGCATGCAAGTGCGCAGTCGCTGAAGTTTTGGGCTTGGTTCAAATCCCAGTGGCACCACTTGTTACTCCCAAGGAGTCCAGAAATCGGTGCAGATCGCTGAACCTGGGCTTCTTTATAAAACGGGAATCATCATAGCCCCATTTTACAGCGATCATAAGTACGAATGAGATAACTGTGACGTGCCTAGAATGGTGCCCAGCATCACAATAATATTAATATTATTTTCCTTATCCAAATGTCACTTCGTGAGACCTGACTAAAAGTTTAAAACAGAAGCCCTCCCCCGAGCTGTAGGTGCCTCTTCCCTGTTGCTTTCGGTACAAGGTACTTCTCTCCACCTGATACAGTATTTAAGACTTCTAAGTTTTCATCTGGGGGGAGCCCATGAGTGGAGGTCAGAGGACAGCTTTCTGGAGTTGCTCCTCATCATCTTCCACCTTCATGTGAGTTCCCGGGGATGGAACGTGGGTCACCCGGCTTGCACAGCAGGAACCTGTACTGGCTGGACCAGCTCTCCGCTGGCTCCTATTTTATTTTTTAATATGTCTGTTGGCCCCTCATTACACACAAACTGCAAGCTTTATGAAGGCAGGGATGTTTGCCGTGTTTATGAGTGGGTGCTACAGAAGCAGTCACAAGAGCATCTGACACGTGAATAATCTTACGAAACCAACACATGTTTGAAGGGAGGTGTTGATGGATTCACATGTCCATTTTGCTCCTGTTTCCAAGTCCCGGAAGTTGAAGCTATCACCCCTGTTTCCGTAATACCAACCAGCCGACTTCCCCACTTCCTTCCTCTCCCTGGGTATCTAATCCTGGGTTGGTTTTGGGTTTTATCTTTATTTTTAGAGAGGCTGGAAGAGTTGTGGGCCGCCAGACTCTCCCAGCAGCAGACTCCCAGGCTGAGCACCAGTGCCCACATTCAATCCTGGTTTATTCGTGAAGCAGCTAACTTATCCTTCCCGGTGTCACGTAGGGAAAAGCACCTACAGAGACTGTTCCCTCTCACTAGTCCAGAATCAGCTAACAGCCGGTGGTGCCAGGCTGGATGCTAATGATGCAGCTGGGGTGTCCTGGAGGGATGAGGCTTAGGATGGAAGCCTCTCCTAATCCCCTCACTTCCCAAGCTTTTCTCCATAGCTTGACAGCATGATACTTGACCGTCAGAACACAGGAGGCTTTGGGAAAGGTCTATACCTTTTTTTAAGCTTTAGTTGTTCATCTGAAAAGTGGGGATGGGATGTTGGTATGTGCTGCTGTTGTTTCCTGTGGTTTGGAGTTCTAATGTACTTTTATTTGTTTGTGTGAGTGCCTGTGCCCGTGATATCAGAGGCCAGCTCTGTGGAGTTGTTTCTCTTCTCCCACCTTTACAGGCATTCTGTGGATGGAACTCAGGTCATCAGGTTTGTGTGGCAACTGCTTCACCAGCTGAGTTGTCTTTCCAGCTGTGGTTTTGTTGGTTTCAGGCTTGGGGTTTGTTGGTAGTGATGCTGGCATGGCTCTGTTTGAGAGGGAGTTTCACTTTACATTCCAGGCTAGCTTTGAACTCATGAGCCTCCTGCCTCGACCTCTTGAGTTGCTGGGTTGACAGGTCCATGCCACTGTACCTGGCTTGTGTGCATTGTTTAACATTGAGTAGTACAGTCATGGGGATGAGACAAAATGTATCGTGCCAATCACGCCGAGCCCGCAGCGTTGTGCTGGGTGTGTGCAACAATCATCGCACTGATGGGTAGATTTGGTATCTGGAGGCATCACATGTCACATATGGAAACAGACAGAAAATGAAACAATTGAAGCCAAAATTCTAAACAGCACCTCCTACATGCTTGCTATTGTGCACTCTCTGAAGTAGTATTGGAAGTCGTGTCCCATTCAAGTAGTACAAACACGGGCTTGATGAATTTCATGACAATGATTACCAAAGGCAAAGAGAAATAAGGTTGTGCAGCGGGGAGGTGAGGGCCTGGGTGTGTCAGTTGTTGAAAGGAGAGAGGGAAATTGTATTTGTTCCAAGGTCAAAGCAAAGATCTTCTGGCTGGCATGACATCATGAGAGTAGGGAGAGCGAGAAAGACCCAGATGCATTGGCTTTCTATTAGACCCACTCTCATAATTTCTCATTAACACATCAGTCTATCGATCATGTGATTGGGTTCATTCATTCATGAGGGTAACACCCTGCTTACCTTCTAAAAGCACAACCTCTTGATAGCTCGTAACAGGGCCTGAATTCCAACATGAGGGCTGATGAGACACCATATTCAAACCATAACAGTAATCACCCAATCCTGCCATGGATGCACAAGATTTAAGATGTCTTCTGATGTCCTACCCTGGCTGTTTTCCAATCTCATTCATCTATAAATTCATGACAAGTATATCAGTGTGTCTGGGGGTCTCAGTCGGGAGTTGCACATTCCCCATAAAGACATTTGGAAATGTTGGGGATCATCTGTAAGAGCCACAGTGATTTGGGGAGTCTGGCATTGATGAAAAGAGCCAAAATAAAAATGTCCAGCAATGCTTCGGGTTTTCTCCCAGTGCTGAACTAACATATCCCAGGTACCAACAGCACCCTAATTGTGCTCTCTGTTCATGTGATCAAACATTCTGACCAAAGGCAACATGGGGAGGAAAAGGCTTATTTCAGCTTGTAATTCACAATCTTCCTCCAAAAACAACATGGTCAAGTCTATCACAGCTTGATTTCTGTTGCTGTGATAAAAAAAAAACACCCTGATCAAAACCAACTCGGGGAGGAAAGGATTGATTTGGCTTTCACTCCCAAGTCACAACCTATCACTGAGTGGAGTAGGGGCAGAAACTCAAGGTAGGAACCTGAAGGCAGGAACTGTGGAGAAATGCTGCTTGATGACTCTTCCCTGGTGCAAGCTCAGCTAGCTTTGTTATCAGCCCAAGTCCACCTGCCTAGGGATGCTGACACCCACAATGAGCTGGGCCCTCCTGCATCCAATAACAACACTTCCCCAAAATTTGCCTACAGGCCAAATTGATCTGGGTAGCTCCCCAGTTGAGATTCCCTAAAATGACTCTGGGCTGTGTCAAGCTGACAGCCAATGATAACTAGGACGCACTCTAATAATAATTTAAAAAAATACTGTATAATGGAAGATGATGTAAACATTGTGTGCTGAAAATTTTGAAAAGACTCCGAACAACCAGTTTCAAAAGTGGTTAATAATATATATATATATATATATATATATATATATATATATATATATATATATATAAGCAATCTCAAAACAATCAACACCTATACTACTAAGCTAAGCCTGAGGCGCATTCTATAACATGTACATGGGCATAAAACTACTTTGAAAAAATACAGAAGATTGTTCAAGCTGTGGGGATCTGTGTTCTTTCTAACACCCACTGTGGAACTGGGGAGTCCTGGGGTTAAAGACGCCGCACCCACAGGTAAGCGGCAGGACAATACCAATGCTATATTGGAAAGCTGATGTGCTTAGCATCCCCTGTGGTGGAGGCATGGAAGTTCTCAACACACTGAGAGAGTACTTGTGGGAAGTATATTTCACCTGTGTTCAACGTGGAGCCTTGTACTGTGTGACTTTTCCTAGGGTGACATGAACAAATGTCTGTTCTTTCCAGACAAGGCACCAAAGACAGACAAAAGAGGTAATTCCACCCAGGTCTAGCTGAGTGAATCTGTGAGTGAGTTTGAGGTTACTTCCAGGAGCATGGATGACTCAAAGGCAGCTGCATTCCTAAAAAACCCAAAGTTTAAGCTGGGCAGTGGTGGTGCACGCTTTTAATCCCAGCACTCGGGAGGCAGAGGCAGGCAGATCTCTGTGTGTTCAAGACCAACCTGGTCTACAAAATTCC